GCGCTCCCCCCCACCGCGCGCGGCCGTTTCCCCGCGGCCGTTATCCCGCCGCGCGTGGCCGTTGGGCCCCGCGGCGCGCGACCCGTCCGGAGGCGCCTGAATGGGGCGCGCCGCGTGTCGCCTCTGCGCGCGCCGAGCCTGCCCCGCCGCGCCGGCGCTGGCAGCGCCTCGGGGCCGCCTGCGGGCAAGGCGCGCAACGGGAGGCCGCGGTGCGTGGCAGGGCCGCGGGAGGCCCCGCCGCCACCTCGGGCCCTGCTTCAGACGGCCCTTTCCCCTCTTGCTGGGGATTTCCGCGCTGCTTTGGTTTGTTTTCCCAAGTGGGAATCCTAAAGGACAAACACGCTTCCCCGTGGCGGCTTGCCGCGCGACTTTGTGCTCGCCCGCCACCGTCCTCGTCATCCTCTTCCACCCAAGTAGCTGCTGTTGTGGCCGGGGGCGAGCAGGGCCCCCTTGCAGGGGCCGAGGGCCGCTCCTGTTTTGTGAGTGCCCGGCATGCTGTCGGAGCGGGAGCGGAGGAGCCGAAGGGACAGGGCTTTCCTGGAGAGCAGGAAAGGGGTCGGAAGGAGGAGTGCTTGAAAAAGGCCAAAGAAACCGGTAGGGATCCCAGATGGAAAATTTACGTGGTTCTCTCAGGAGCTGCTGGGCTGGATTTGGGAAGCAAAATCGGCCTTTAAAGTGCAAAACAGAGGGATTTCAGTCTGGCTTTCAATGCAAATCTCAGTGCAGCCTGAACCGTGGACTCGCTACCGACGCCTCCATGCTACATATTAATCCAATTTTATCTGTCATGAGGAGATTTGTTGAATAGAAACCTCTAGGTGAAGACAGTGCATGGGCTATTGCTGTTGCTTCGAGCCCGTGGGCTGGAAAAATGAGCTCCGCAGCTCGCCTGGAGCGCTCAGGCTGTGCATAATCCTGCTGCCGCTTCCTTCTCGGAATTCCAGTTACTTTTCATGAACGGGCTTTGGGCAGAAGATTTTTTTGTGTGGAGATGGGTGGCTTCTGGAACAAACAGGGTCTTCTTGTAGCAGTTACAGTAGTTAATTTGTGGTCTTGATGGGAGAAGGCACAACATGTGCAATGGGAGAGGAGGAAGAGCTGTCAGAAACACCACAGTTCTGGCAGCTGTTAGTGATGCTTCCCTTGGTATGGAATGGGAGGATTCCTCTGGGCTCTTGTGCAAAGCAATGGCACCCTTCACCATAGTGGGCTATTATATGTTTAAAGTGAGCAGTCCTGCGTTGTGCACACCACATATTCCTTCTTTCCCCCCTCCCAGTTTATCACTCTGTCTCTTTGAAAGTGCAAAGTGGTAGTAGGGCCCGTGTGGTGGGAGCAGACTAGCTGTGTGCTTTGCTTCTGTTTCTTCTGCTAACAACTACAACCCTATTGATTGGTACGGACAGTTATTAATGCAGAAAATCTGGAAACTGTCGGCTTGTGTTTGTGAAAGGGGCATTGAGGAGCACGTGTGTGGGATCTCAGTGTTCCCCTCCGGAGCGTTGGCTGTTTGCAGGATAACTGGAGATGATATGGGCTCACTTTCTTCCTTGCTTTCCTCTTAGAGTCCCCCATGCTTTGGGGGAGTTTGAACTGAGGTCTGAAGTGAGTCAAAACAGAGATATTTTTTCTTCAAGGATCGAGTAGTCGGTAATTGCTCGACTTGTTTTGCTATCATGTTGATCTGAAGATGTAAAGGAGAGCCAAGCAGAAGCAGTGAGCAATATTGAGTGACATTCTTGGGAACAAACATCAAGTGGGAATGCTGAAAACAAGCTGGCTTGGTGCTTGAATCATCTTCTTGTAGGTGCACTGCAACTATCTGCACATTTTCTCCTTTCCCACCACAAACGGGCAGTTACCCACTCTGTTCCTGAAAGAAGTCCCTTGCTCGATAACATGTGAACTAGTTGAAAGAGAAAATTATAGCCCCTTTCCTTGTTTCAACGCGTGCTCTTATAATGACGGAGAGTTTACCGCCCGTTGGCGGGCGGGAGTGCGGGAGGGATGCGGGGAGGATGTGTCCTGGCGCTGCGCTCATCCGCTCCTCTCTCCTGCTTGCAGGCTCCGTCAGCCGGGATGGCGTCAGCCCTGCCCAGGACCCTCGGGGAGCTGCAGCTGTATCGAATCCTGCAGAAAGCAAATCTCCTGTTCTACTTCGATGCCTTCATTCAGCAGGGTGGCGACGATGTGCAGCAGCTCTGCGAGGCGGGCGAGGAGGAGTTCCTGGAGATAATGGCTCTCGTGGGCATGGCCAGCAAGCCGCTGCATGTGCGGAGGCTGCAGAAGGCGCTGCGGGACTGGGTCACGAACCCTGCTCTTTTCAACCAGCCCCTCACGTCCCTGCCGGTGAGCAGCATTCCCATCTACAAGCTGCCGGAAGGCTCTCCAGCGTGGCTGGGGATATCCTGCAGCAGCTACGAGCGCGGCGGCGGCACGCGGGAGCCGCACGTGAAGGTGCCCAAGTGCGCGGCGGCGCCGTGCGCGCAGGCCGCGGGCGCCGGCAAGGCCGAGGCGGCGGGCGCCCTGGCGCTGCAGGGCGGCAGCGAGCTCAGGCTCTGGCCGGGACAGCACGGCGCGGAGAGCGAGCACAGCCTCTCGCCGGCGGAGCTGGGCTCGCCGGCCTCGCCCCGCGACGGCAGCGAGACGCTGGACGCCGCCGCCGCGCTCTCCGTGGCCGAGTGCGTGGAGCGCATGGCGCCCGCCCTGCCCAAAAGTGACTTGAGCGAGGTCAAGGAGTTGCTGAAGACCAATAAGAAACTGGCAAAGATGATCGGTCACATCTTTGAGATGAGTGATGAGGACCCGCACAAAGAGGAGGAGATCCGGAAGTACAGTGCAATATACGGCAGATTTGACTCGAAAAGGAAGGATGGCAAGCACCTCACCCTGCACGAGGTAAAACCCTTCGAGCTGCAGACAGCTTTCCCCGGTTCCCGCTGCCTTTGTGAGATGCTCTTTACGGGAGACGCGTTCCATACGGATGTTTCTCCCTGAGCAAGGGGAATTCTGTGTCTGCAAGGGCCATGGGCAGCCCTGTCCTGAACAAAGGTGCTGGGTGTGGCCAGACGACCCTTGCTGGTGTGTGAGCACTGCTTGTGTCAGCTCTGCATCAGCGAAGCGATGCCACCAGCACGGGCCCTCAGACAGGGCCTCCAAGCTGCTCTGTGCAGAAGTAGCCGCTGGGGTTGCCCGGGTTTCCCCAGCACCCTGAGCGCTGGGCACATTCCCAGAGCAGCCCTGTCTTTGGAGCTGCCCCTGCCTTAGTTACTAGTCTGCAGTCCCCCTCACCTGCAGAGTCTAATTCCCAAGGGAGGTTATTTTTCTGCGTAGGGCTGTGTTCCTGCGTGCACAGCACTGCCGGACAGCGGAGTAAAGCGCAGACTGAGAGGAGGGAGGCAAGGGACCGTCCCCAGGACTGAGGGCCTCTGTAGCCCACGCGCCGATCCCTAAGCACCTGGAGGCCACCTGCATCCCCTGCCCTACTGACAAAGCGCGCGGGCCGCTTCGCTCCTGCCCCTGCTTTCCTGAAGCCTGTGCTGCCTGTGTCGCAATGCAATAGGTGTGTCTGCGTTTGAAACGGTTCCCTGGTGCCGAAGCACAGCACAGGAGCAGAGCAAACATTAATTCCAAGCAGCGCCAAAGCGCTGCTGATAGCAGTGCTGTGTCAGCATTTTTTTGCAGTGAAGTGATTGCAAAATTTGGGATGCTTTTTAGAATTTGTCATGTAAGGCTTAGCTCCCGCAGGAGAGGCAGGGTTTAAGTTCCGGGCTGGGAGGCAGAAGGTGGTGCTAGTTTTACCCCCTCTCTCGCTTCTGGAGGTTTGGTATGTGTGTGCAGCACTCCGTGCTGCTTGCAGAGGGCCTTCTCTGTATGCCTTTGAGAGAAGGACAAAAGGCAACGGCAGACAGCAACTTTTGGCCTGCTGCTCGCGTGTTTGCACCAATGGAGCAGCTGCCTGTCGCCAGCAGCGACTTCAGAGGCCTCGTTCCCCACATGGGGGGCATCTGGCAACTTGCTGCTGGCAGCCAGAGCTCGGTGCTGCCCTTTGTGGTGCAGCTTTCGTGTGTCTGCGGCACCAGGCAGGGCGAGGAGGAGCGCTCCGCTCTGCCCGTGCGTGATAATGCTGAGAAAATGGGAGAGCTGCCCTGTGTCCTGCACAAAGCTGCAAGGAGTGCTTGCCCGGGCTCTGGGAAATGCTTCTCTTGCTGCCTCTGGTGAAGGGCACGAGATCAAAGGAAAATACATTTTACTTCTGCCTGTGTTAGGCATCTTGGAGCTTGCTGGGAACTGCACGTGAGCCAGTGAGAAGAACTCGCTCATGAAGGATTCTTTTTTCTTTGAGACCTGTTTCACAAGGCTTTCCCTTGACCAGCTTGCTTTAAAGCTGTAAATATACAAAAAAAAAATATATATATATAATATGCATGGCTAGTGAGACCACTCTTTTTTCTGGACTTCCCAAACCAGACATTGCCTTTTGCAAATGCAACTTCAATGGCTCTGTGTTTGCAGTGACTTTTAAACAACTCCCTAGGGAAGGAAGGGCTGCCGGCAAGCAGGAAGGTGAGCTCCTGCACGCTCTCAGACTGTTCCTGCGCATGCTGATGTGTTCCCTGCCTGTCTCCCTGCCCCATAGTCAGTCAAGGTTTCTCTTTGCAGCAGGCAGTGAACAACTGAATAAACTTTGCTGTGAATTTAAAAGACTTACGTATGGCTTCTGAATGGGAAGTCACGGCACCTCTGGCTTTGGGAGTGGAGCTGCATGCAGATGCAACTTGAACGGGATGGTGTTCCTGGGGGTGATCTACTGAGGTTACTGCTGCCTCTGTGTCGTGAACCGTGTGCTCAGACCCCCCCAGAGGTCTTCAATGAGCACGGGTAATTTTAGTTGTCAGAAAATCCAGGTGCTTCCGTAGGATTAGTTACATCCAGAGCAGATCTAGCACAAAATCTGATGTAGAATCTTCAGGACAAATAATTTGCAAGCTAATAAATGACACGTCCTCAATCCATGTGCCCATTCCTCAGAACTGCCTTGCTTTTGGTGTGTGTATCCAGGTGTATCCAGCTGCGTGGCAGGGACCGTGAGTACGAGGCTTGCCCTCAAACTTTGAGTCACAGCTGTAATTGCAATGTTAATGTTCCAGCACTTGTCTAGCTGCCTATAAAGCAGAATAAAATCCTACTTAAGAGACGTGGCTTGAGAAATGGGAATGAGAAATGCAAGCAGTGAATTTCATCTAACTCGGTGTCTTCCTTGTCGGCTGCTGACTCACCAGAACAAGGATTTGGCATTTATTAATGTGTTTTCAGTGGGGGAACCTGAGAAACCAATTAGATGGGAATCTGTGTAGTGCGTACGATCCCCCCTCGAGGTAGTTAGTTTCTATGGTTATGTACTACTCTGTGCCATTAGGGCTTCCAGTGAAGGGAGCAGTGTTTTTAGGCATACGGCACTTCCCAGCTGTAGTATTTTGCCCCTGAGAAGAGAGCAAGCGTCGTGTTCTGCAGTTTGGCAAGCCTTAACACAACCTGGAGGAAGAAACCAGGAAACAAACAGGCATTGGGCTTTTCTCATGTCTTTGATAAACAGAATTTGCATACCTGCACCCAAAGCACTGCCACATTTTTCTGTTGTTTGGAACCTCTGTAAATGTCAGCAAGGTGGGCAAAAATAACCTGAGGTGTTTTGCAAGCATTAACCGTGTTATCCTGTGCAAAGTAACAGCTATTTCTACTGCACAAGTTAATATGGACTTTGGGTACCAGTTCTTTCCGTAAGGGTTGTTTAATGCGTTATGTTGTGTGTTTGTTTTTATTCTTCCTGAAAAGATGTGGTAGAACGACTGCTTTTGCCTAATAGATAATAATTCATTACTTTGCTACAGTGTTATAGAAATATAATAATGAGATGTTTTGCAGATTAAAGCTGAACTTCCCACATTTGCACATCTTTCTGTGCGAATTTATCTGTGCAGGGATGATGGGATCAGGCAGTATTTCCAGCTTACGTCTTAAAAGACACATTTTCACTGTTATTAGCAATTGGATGTCACAGGAAATGCACTAATCACATCAGATGCTTTTATGTCAAGCAGGGAAAAATGCTTATAAAACATGAGGAGCACGCGTTACCCATGAGATTTTCCTAAATTCTGCTGGGAGCCCCGACTGCTCTGCCACGTGTTTGTTGCTGAACCCCCAGAGGACTGGCACTGTGCTGGCGCAGGCCTGTTTTGCTTGTGCAGGTATCAGAGCTGTGGCAGAGGGCAGCCTGTTTGTGTTGTGCTGCCCGCTTGGGTCCCTGGTGTGTGTGACTCGTGGCATCCTCCGGTGCTCCCAGCCTTCTTGGTGACAGGCTGCCCTGGGACGGGGGCCTTTGTCCCTGCCCTGTCACGGCCTTCCAGAGGCTCCGAGGCAGCTCTCGGAAGAGCCTTGCAAGGCTGTTTTGAGCCTTAGCTTAACGCTGGTTTTCCTGTTGTCACCTCTGTGCAAAATTGTTGTCAACAGCGGAGGCTCTTAAAATATGCCCCAGCAGGCTCAGGAAAACATCCTTGAAACCAGTTGCATTCACTTCGTGTCTGAAGATTGTCTTCACAAGTGTAAGTGTACGGAACATAGCTAAAAGAAAGTTTCATCGTTACTTAAACCAGCACCTTCTGCAGAATCTATGCCGTGTGCACCAGGGAAAGCCATCTGTACCCACACTGTCAGTAGTGGTTTTTTTCTTTTTCTTTCTTTTTCCCAAGTCCTGGGCATATTGCATTTATAAAAATAGTATTCCCTGTAAAGGAAGCTTTGGGAGCCAAACCCTGTGAACATTCGGAGCTGCTGTTTTGTACTGAAATTTAATTAATTCTGGGACACAAGCAGTGCACTGTGAGCAAGCCTTATAACAGTGTTTAAAGGATGTTAAGTGCAGTAGTTCTGTGTGTGTGTGTGTGTGTTTTTTTTTCTTTCCAGAGGCTTATTTCTGTATCGAAGAATCATTTCAACGATCAATATATGATTTAAAGCCATTTTTCTTGCCTTTGAAACCTTTTGTTGCCTCAGAAGGCCAACTACACTTCCCAGCACCCTGGGTTTGCGCGACCGTGACCCTGCATGTTTGTGTTTGCTCCCCAGCTCACGGTGAACGAAGCAGCCGCCCAGCTGTGTGTGAAGGATAACGCCCTGCTGACCAGGAGGGACGAGCTCTTTGCGCTGGCTCGGCAGATCTCTCGAGAGGTTACCTACAAGTACACGTACAGGACCACCAAGTAAGGCTCTCCGCGACTCCAGGGATGTTTCCAAGAACCGATCAATCCAATGACATTCCTTTGAAGCAGCAGAGACCCCTCCTTCCTGCTCTCTAGTTAGCAAAGTGTCCCTTTTGCATGTGCTGTGGAAGTCAAGGTCCTCTGTTTGATTTAGTTTGTTGTGTATTGCCTAGCTTTCCAGATGCTGCCATGAACTAGCATGCTGAAAGGCATCTGAGAGGCCGGCATTTTCATTTCTTAAGGCATTTCCTCACTTCAAGATTTACGTGAAAGGTCAGAGTAGCCAAAGCTTCTGAATATATATTTTCACATTTTGGTTTGGTTGCTTGTTAGTTTCCAGGGGATGAAAAAGGTAAAGGCCCCAGGGAGCGTGTTACAAGCTTTCTTTAACAGAACCTGGGGGAGTCCTAATTTCAGCTGTTAACGTTTGATGACCCACTTTTCAAAAAAAGTAACACTTGATACCTGTTTTAATCAATTAAAAATTTGGATCTAATAAGTACAACAAGAAGTCCTCGTAGTTTCTGTGTGTTGGCATTAGCTGTCAACATATAGTTTAAATATTTCAAATATGTTTTCTGCAGATCTAGTAACTGTAGTTTCTAGGAGTTTCCTTTCTTCTCCATTCTTCAGTGTCAAGTAATGTAAATATATACTCATTCAGGGTAGGCTTTGTGTTCAAGTGAAGAGTACGTGCATCTTTGGACACGTTTGAAAATATTTAATATTTTCTAAATTTTTTTTCTTCACCACTAAGTGCAAGTCAATTTGAGGCTTTTTATGGTGCATCTCCTGCATCCTCATATGATTGTTTTGTTTTGATTGTTTCATGCTTGTTTCTGTTGGTCAGGGTTAATCTGACGTTTAATGAGAACATACGTGTTTTTCTTTCTAGGTCTAAATGTGGAGAGAGGGATGAACTGTCACCAAAGAGAATTAAGCTTGAGGTACAGTACTGCAACTCCTGCATTTGGACCTTTGCATGCTAAACCTGATTTTTATTTTGAAGACCAGGCATGTGTCTAAGGAAATTTGTCAGAAAAATGTGATGGTGCATGTGTGTGTGTGTGTGTATGAGAGACAGCATCCCCTTTGTCTCAGGAGATAGACATGTTCAGAGGAAGAACCTGCAGGAGACAGGGTAAAGATTAGGATTTACTTCAAGGTAAATCTACTCTCCGTGTTTTGCACTGCAAATGTGTAGGAGGGAAAAGAGCGGGACTGATTGACTTCCTGTGGTGGAATAACCTCGATTTATGAGAAATATCTTCCCATAAGGCCTATTGCTTTGAAGTAAGCATATATATATATTTTTAATCACTTGAGTCAGTTTTTCATCGTGCAGAGTATTCTGGATAGGAATTAATGGCATCATATAGGCTGGATCTGGTCCCTCTAAAATTCTAAAGCCCATAATATTGAAAAGTCAAAAGCTAAATAAAAGCTGTTTATAAATGCACATTGTTGGACTTGTAGGTATTGGCTTACTATATATTTTTTTTATTAATTTAATGTAAAGAGGATGTGTATAGACAGCTAATGCTTACATCTACATGAATTTTTGCTTAGGGAAATGCAAGTTCTCCTGGGATTTTTTTTGTTAGGAGTACAAGATCAGAATATGTGTAAAATAACTATTTCTTGGGTTTCCACTGCTGAGTAGTAAATTTGAGGCCTTGCCACTTAAATAAAAAGCATTAAAAAGGTATTCCTTATTTATTTTAAAACTAATTATCCTTTCACTGTTACATAAGTATCTAATCTATTCAAAAAATATATATGAAATGCAGATTAGCATATACAGTAGGCCTGTGCCAGAATTGCATGCTGCATAGATGTGAAAAGAGGATGTGTCACGTACCTAACTAATTCTGTGGTAAGCGATGCCTCAAAAGTAAGGCCGGTAAGACCTTTCTCAGCAGTAGTATAAGACCTTCTTCAGCAGCGCAGTGTTTGGTTACCCTGTGCAAGGGCTTTTCCCACCTGGTAAAGTCCAGAAAAAAAGGTTATTACTTTAAAAAAAAAAAAGCTAGTCACAGGTTTTGTTTCACCAGCTTGTGTACAAGCGTACTCTGAGCTTATGTAATAAAAATTGCACATGTGCATGGAGGGTCTCTTGGTTGCTCTGATGATAATTCTGTAATGTGGTTTAGATGCTCGAAAGGGGATTGCGTTTTTGAATAGATGCCACTTGTAAGAAGCTTTGCCTTGGTTCAGTCAGGATGGATGGTAACCAAGTGTCTGAAGTGCCACCCTGCAGGGGAGCTGCCTTTTTCCTGTGGTTCTCTGTTGAAGGGAAAGCGAAGCTAAAGCTCTGAAAAATACAGGCTGGAAGGTCAGTGTTTGAGGGAGAGTGGGGAGAGAATGAGGACAACGCAACCGTAGGGATTGTGTGTTCTTGCTTTCTGAATAGTGATATCTTAAACTACTCTTTTTCCTCAGGGGGTCCCTCAAGATCAGTAGTTGTGAGAAAGTTGTTCACTTTTTTTTTTTCTTTTAAGTACAGTTTTTGCATAACTCTACAACTGGCTACTCCAGAGGCCCTGTGATTCTGTGTGATTCTGTTTTTCAACAATAAAAAAAAAAAAAGAAAATTAAATAAAAATTTTCTTTCAGTGCTTTAGCCGTATTAACTATAAAATGGCTAGTATCATTCTAACCACCTTTTTTTACTTTACAAAATTTGGATCTTCTAAGGTGTGAGGCATTTACTTTTTTTTTTTTTCATCTGGGGACTGTTGCACAATAGATCATTTTTGCATGTTGTATTTGAGTTTTGTGAAGGTTGTGCTTTGCAGAAAATGTGCAGTGTTAGTATTATATTTAGGATATATTTATTTAAATATTTAAATAAGTATATTTAAATATTATATTTATTTTTAGAAAGGTGAAGGTCATTTTGTTTTTCTGCTCTAAGGCATTTTGAACTTGGCTGGTTCACCATTGCTTTGCCCATTAATCAGTTACATTTCTGCTAAGCTTGAGTCTAAAACGCTCGTGCATGAATTTGGAAAGACTTTTACACCCTGTTTGCCTAAGTGTAAAGGATTACTTAGAAAGAGTTGATTTCCTAAAGTGTAAAAGTCCTCCAGAAAGGTTTGAAGAGGTGTGAAGGTATGAAGATCATATTTGAACAGAGCTTTGTACACCAGCCTAAACACTGCTGTATTTCAGTCACCATTGTAAATTTGTCCTCCCCACAACTACAGAACTCACACAAGCCTTGCAAAAGAAACAGTACTCCATGAATTGTATCCCATTACCTGTAAAAAGCCTTTGTCTCCCTCTGCATGTCCCCCCCCTCTTGTTTGTGCAGTGGGTGGGCAAGTTGTGGGAGCAACGTGTACAGAGAAGGGTGGACAAAATGGCGGGCAACCTGCATCGCACACACAGAGAAGGGTGGACAAAATGGCAGGCAACCTGCATCGCACACACAGAGAAGGGTGGACAAAATGGTGGGCAACCTGCATCGCACACACAGAGAAGGGTGGACAAAATGGCAGGCAACCTGCATCGCACACAGACTCGCAGAGGGTGGAAAAAGGGGCAAGGGACACGAAATAAGGTGTGCGATGAATTAGGGGTTGGAACCAGTTAGAAAACTAGGAGCTGCAGTTCCTTTATCTGCTATCCCACACTTTGTCCAGGACAGAACAGGGATGAAAATGGCGTCTCCTGTATCCTTAGGATGGAAATGGCGTCTCCTCTATCCTTAATCTGGATGCCCGGGCAAGGCGTGGGATAGCGGAACAGGGATGGAAATGGCGCCTCCTCCACAGAGCAGGCGTCTCTTTCGGGCACCCCTTCCTTCGTCACCCTCGGTGACTCAGTACCATGAGCTCTGAAGGCAGGAGCTCGGAAAGCAGAGTCTGGCACGGGGAGGGTTGCACGAGGCTCAGTGCGGGGGGCCGGGGCCATCACCGGCGCTGCTCCTCCTTGTGAAGGAAGAGGATCCCCTCCCAAATGCGCTCATGGGCAAAGGGGCAGATGACAGGGGAGAGCGAAGACCCTCCTTGTGTGTGCGGCCGCGGGCGGTGGCATCCGCGCTGCGCCGAGCAGAGGAGCGGGCAGGGCTGCGCAAGCTCCGTGGGAGCGGAGGGGGCGCAGGGAGCAGAGCGGGGGCGCAGGGAGCAGAGCGGGCGCGGGCGCTGAGCGGAGATGGCCCCGTGGGTGCGGGGAGAGCAGGCTGAGAGGAGAAGCCGCGTCCGCGTGGGATCTGTGTCGGCCTCGCGCAAACGGCAGAAGCAGCCGGGTCTGCTGCTTGCCTGGGAGAAATGTCATTAGAGGGAGCGAGAAAGCACATGTGGGGCTGGGAGCATCTGCTGTGAGAAGCCACGCAGAACACAACTGAGCCAGCAGCGTGGTGAGAGGCGCGTGCTGCCGGGCACGCAGCAGGGTCCTGCTGGCCCAGCAGGGACCCTGAGAGCACGGGACTGGCCAGCTAGGACAAGCTCCTCTCATCCCTCCTTGCTGACGGGCAGGGAGCATGAGAAGCACCCGGAAAGCTGCCTCTGGTTTTGTGTGGGCGTGTGGGTGTAGATGCCTCTTGCAGAACCACTTCTGCAGAACCATTTTCTGTTGCAAAAATACAATCCGGAGTGATAGGCTTTTGTGTGTTTGCTTTTTCATCTTCCTATGCCTAGTCATTCTCTTTTCCCAAACAAATACAGGTCATCCCATAAAAGCGACCGGTGTTTATGGGAATGCACTGCAAAGTCTCTGTTTCTAGAGGATGAGATTTTGCGGCACTATACCTGGTTAGGAAGTTTTATGCGCCTGTCATGTCTTTTTCTGTGGGGAGAGTGTGTTGGGCAGGTAAAAGCAATAGCAGGGTTCGAGCAGGTTATTTTTACTGGCGCTGCCTTACTGGGGCGTGGAGTGGCCAGTCTGAGCACCGCCGTACAGGTCAGCATGGAGCCCACCAGCTGCACTGTCCTTGTAGTGTCCTTTCTCTGGAGTTTCCCTGGAAGATGGCTTTTTGCCTGCTCCAAATGCAAACAATTTCCCCAGCTGCCATCAGAGATCTTATTCCTTTCATTCCCATGCCTTTGGAATCCAAAGAAAGATTATGGAGTTTGGCGTGCATTTGGTCCTTGGGTCTAATGTTCTTCAGTAATGAATGTTGCTCTTTGAGGGTTTGGCCTTCTCAAGATCTCTAGCTTCCTCTCCTAGTTTAGCAAAGTTGCCCATACTGCGCTTCTGTGGACGTTTAGGGGTCTTCCTGTGCTTCCTGTGAGCTTTCCCAGCTGAACAGGGTAAACTTTTCGTCTTGAACCTTTGCTGAACAACTTGCTTTAATAGCTTAGACGGCTTTCGTGGAAACGCTCCTTGTGCTGTTGCAAACTGCAAAAGATTTGCATGCCCTTTGAGACTGAAAGAGTTGCTAAACTGTGTTTTCCCATAGTTTCCCGAGTTTTGGTACTCTACCTGTAAAATGGTGGTATTTCATGCTGTGGTACCTATGTAGTCCTTAGGCGAAACATGTTCAATGTTGCAAGGCCTCACTCCATTTCTTAAGGTTAATAAATGCGTCTGCTGCCCTGCAGTCTTGATTGCATGTAAACTTGACAGGACTGTGAAAATGTGTGTTTCATTTTGTGAAAAGTGAATAAAAATGTCTGCCTTGCTGTTTGGTTTCTCTTTTTCTCACTAGGATGGTTATCCTGACTTCCAGGACACAGTCCAAACACTCTACCAGCAAGACAAAATGCCCCTTGCTTTGGCTAAAGGGAAGAGTGAAGACTTGGCAGCCCTTAACTCCCAGGTAAATCAGCTACATGACACTGTGTGAGTGACAGAGGCTGTGTCTTTGTGCATTGATTTTGGCATCTTGATCATATTTTGCGTTTGACAGCTGAAGTTATCACCTTCCGTTTGCCAAGGCTGCCTAGGTTAGCAATGATTGCCCCACATTTACATTTAATTTGGATTTACATTCTAAAAGTGTTCAGGCAGGGCTACAGCTTTGCCCTTGTTCGTTCTGTGGAGCTAAGCATCTAGCCTAGCAGGCTTGAAAGGAAAAATGGGTGCTTTGCTCGCAGGAGCAAGCAGGGTGCTGCTGGTGCAGTATGTGCTGACTTGCTTGTGATTTTAGCTATAAATGGAAGTTCAAGATATTGAGTCTAGGGGGAATAAATAGAGGAGGTGATCTTGGAAGCATCAGTTCTGATGGAAGGAGTGCCAATGTATTTAGGAAATGGTGAGGCTCTGCGTCTAAGAAGATGGATGGATTGCCTTTCCGAACAACATCCAGCCTGGGGAAGTGCAGTGTTTTTGAAATACCCAGAAAGCTTTTTAATCATCCTAAACAGATTTCTTTTTCTTTTTTTTTGTTTGTTTTTCTCTAGTGTATCTCAGTCTTGAGTCACAATTCCTATTTTCCTACTCTCAATTGTTGCCAAGGAGGGATTTCCTGTTAAATTGCAACACTTTTTTTTTTTTTTTTTGTATAGCTGATTTGAGCAAATATAATCACTAGATTATCACATAAAATAACATTCAGGGGCTGTGCTCCTATCTCCAAGACTGGATAGCTTCTCTTTCCTTTCAGCTTCTTGTATTGCGAAGTAGTGCTGTAGTGCAGTTATGCAGATTATGTTACTTGGGATGTGTGAAAAAGTGGTTGTGCTTCATGTTCTAATGCCCTCACAGGCTAAGTAAACTTCTTTTATGCAAGCTTATTTTGGTCTTGTGTGTACTCTACAGATTTCATTGGCCATTGATATGAAACAGCAAATGGAATTTTTGAGCTTCTGTACATCTGTGCCTCTGCACTTTCTTTTATTGCAGTTGAGAAAGCATTTTTATATGAATAAAACTATATAATAGGAGTAAGGATCTTTTTTTATTACCAGTAAGTTTTACAATTTTATAGTAGCAATAGCCATGACAGAGAAGAGCAAGCATAAAGTACATTTGAAAGTAAACTATTTGAAAACAGTTTACCTTTTTACCTACCTCCCAAGACCAAGCTCGAGGGCTTAGTGTCCTTCTGCAGAGCCCCATGACCTCTGAATCAGAGTGAAGAAGCAGCAGTCGAGTTGTTGCGCTTTCCTCAGAGCTGTCACTGTGCAGGGAGGCTGAATTTGTGCAGGGAGGCTGAATTTGTGCAGGGAGGCTGTGCTGCCATTTTTTATAAGGGATAGAACCGTGATGGACAAGTGGACTCCTCTGGCAAGTTGAGGCTTTCATTAAGAGCCCCAAAAAGTTAAAAGTGCTCTGCAAAATGTTGTGTTTCTTTTTAATAGGCATCTCTGCTGTGTGGAAACAATTACGAAAATACCTGAGAGAGAAATGAAATTTCTTTTATTATCCCTAGGTGTTAATTTTGTGTATTTTCTGTTTCTGTTCTCGTGTTCATTCTGGCTCTTTCAGATCAGCTTTTTTTTCCTTTTTTTACTTGTGATTTTATTTTTGCAAGATGCTTATTTACATTCCAAAGAACAAGCTTATATTGAAAGTTAAAATTCTCTGGCATTAAAGTCAATGACAAACATGCAGACGCCGCTCCCTCCCACGTTGTGCTGCATTGTGGAATCGCGCTCGCTAGGAGTGTAGAGGTCCTGTTCTTCTTCTAGACAGACATTTCACACCTTTATCCCCCACAAACATACTGTCATCCTACACTTTCAGGATGGCAGATTTTTAAGCTTGTGTAGTGCTGTTTCCTGAAATAAAGCTTCCAAGATGTCTGCTGAAATCTTGGCATAAGTTCTTTAGCAGATGTTGCCATTGCTCTCGGAATACTCCGTGAAGACATATATTTGAACAGAGCTGAAGTGGGTAATTAAGACATTATCTTCTGCTTTTGCTGCGTTTCTCTCGTGTAACCTGCAGTTTTGAAGGATGGAAAACGTGTTTTCAAGGAATTCAGCGCTGTGTCTTTGCGTGCTTGAACTGGCGCTTCTGATGTTCTCAGTCCTTTGGAGTGACTCCGATTTTCATCCTGTCCGTGTATGGGGGCAAAAATATTTAGTTTGCTTGATGGTTTTGAAGGAACTGTAGAGCACACATCTGTACTTACAAGTCAACAAAAATATGTATATCTAGGCTGTTTGGCTTTATCATCCAACATTGTGTTTTTTCTCCTGCGTTTGACTCACTGTGTATATATATATATGTGTGTGTGTGTGTGTGTACATATATAAATATACATACAGATAGATTTTTTTTTCTTTTGCTTTATTTGCAGTCTGAAAAGGTGATGGCAAAACAGATGGAATTTCTTTGCAACCAGGCGGGCCTGGAGAGGCGCCTCTCCACAGGCTGCTTCCGGCAAAGCTCGGAGGAGCACAGCCCCAACGGGCTGGCGTTGGATAGCGCCGACGGACAAGGTAGAGCGGCTTCCAGGCACGGCCCTGCCACCGGCAGAGGCGCTGGCGTTAACGCAGCCACTGTCCTCGGGGCTGCGTGTCCGGCAGGGCACAACCAGCGCTGCGCTCCGAGCAGCCGGGGTGGGATCTGTGCAGGCCCCACTTTTGTGCTCACGCAACGCGCGGCAAGCTGCTTTCCCCAAGGACGATGCCTGGGGAGGGAGGAGCGGGAGGCTCCAGGATAATCCTAACGTTTGGAAATACACCAGAACTTTGCATTAACCAAAAATAAATAAAATAAAAAGAAGACTTTATGGAAGTTGAACTTAAAATTTACAGTGCAGTCTGTACCTCTTCCTGTTTACCTGTTTGTGCAGTCTAGGAACAAAACTTGAGGATCTGGCTATGCAAATTACTTAGAAGTAAGCAGATTATAATGATCTTCACAGTTCGTTATTCTTCAGAAAACTGATGGTTTGGTGGCGAACTCTGCAGCTTATCAAGTGGCTATTCATTAGCTTGGATTAATTTTTAGAAGTGATTGGGTTGATTGGGTGATTTCTGCTTGCATTTCTCTTTTTACCGTTGTGAAATGCGAGAAAAATGGTATAAACCTATGCAAGAATTACAAATAGAAGCTTTTTTAGTTTCTTTAAAGCACATTTGCTTTAAGGAGAAAAGAGAAGCTAAGAGAGAGAAGAAGAGAGAGAAAAGCTAGAGAGAAGCTAAGGGAATAGATAAGCATTAATACACAGTATTTCGTTTGTGTATGTTCATGCAGCGCAGCATCCGGGAAGAATTAGGTGTTTGGATCCAGCTCCTCTTGACTGTGCAAGTTTCTTTACACCATTATCCGCTGTGGATTGCGACTGTTCAGGATTTCCAAGTGCATTTTGATCATAATAAAAGATTTTTTGTATGGCAGATTGCCGCTTAGTAACAATGCCTGTGGTCTGATAAGAAGAGAATAGTCTGTAAAACAGGACATTTGTGTAAGCCCCCTGTTGCTAGAAATTGCTGAGAAAGTGGAATTTAGGATGTGCTTTTGCAAGTAGAGACTTCAACACCAAGATTTCATTTTTTTACTGCTTTGCTTTTAATGCATCAATATTTCATTGTACATCTCTTCCAGGTGAGAGACCCCTGAATCTGCGCATGACAAATCTGCCCAGCAGACAGTTGCAACACATTTCACTTGATGGAGAGCAGCACGTTGGAAAGCCTCTGTGCAGCGACTTGATCCGGCTTTACCCCAGTGGTGAGGCAAAGGCCCAGTCCTCGGGTTAGTGCTGGTCCTTGTGAACGAGCCCAAGTTTCCTAGTAAGGCTGGAATGAACTGCTTCCTCCATCGTGTCTCTGAGCCAAAAGCACGACGGCTTCAGACAGGCTTTCCGTGTAATGTTTCAGCAAAGGTTTTGGAGAAAATCAGAATAATCTAGATCCTGTGATCTAGAAACAGAGGGAACATTAGTTGGGATTAACTTGGAAAATGTGGTTGCTTGGTGCAGATAAGCGAGTTTTGGCACATGTGTGTTCTCATACAACTTGTAGACCTAAACTACTCTGTTAAACACCACGCTATTACAGTAATTACAGCAACATGAGTTTGATTTATCCTATGGTTTCACTTTGTATGAATCAATCAAATTATAAGCAGGCTCTTTCTAGAAAGGGTTTTTTAAGCAGGTTTGTAAAGACCTAGTAGTATTTTTCTACTCTGAATTGTTGCATTGCAGTCTTAGCTCAGCTTTTACTGCTATTTTGACTGTTCCAATCTCATTGATTATTCCTCTGGTGAACTTTTAGTTAGTGATCGTTTATCAATTCCCTTTCAAAATGCTAGCAAAGAGTGTTTCTTTTCTAAGGCCTGCTCCCTGGGAGCACTGCAGGAAATCTGTCATCACTGTAATGTAAGTGTGATTATAATCCATCTGGGTTAAAGCCCAGTAGGAGGAAGCAGAATTTGTTTCACTCCAAGTATCCATGTAGTTCATGGACCTTTCTCTTGAATTAAGGCTAAAATATGTTTGTTTCAAGCAGTGTTTTCTTTAACACCCATTTTTTTCTGTTCTTTTTAACACAGAGGGCCTTGGTATTTTAAAGGATTTTCCTCACTCGGCTTTTAACAACGTGGAAAGGAAGGTCATAAAAACAGAACCTGAAGACACAAGATAATCATTCTGCTCTGGATAATGGTATAATATGGAATGAAACTTCAGAAGAGGGGAAAAAAAAGAACAAAACCTAGCCTTAATAACCAGTGTTGCCTCATTCAAATAAGAGATTTCAATAGCCAAAGCCTAAGAACTGGTACAGTAGTCTGTGGAAACAGAAAAGCAAGAGACACTGCAAACTAAAACAGTAATACAGGTAGATACACATTCCTGTGAAAGTGGTTTTATAACGTGGAAAGATTCACAAATTAATATTGTGGATCTTCATTATTTAAGAATGTATTATGTATTTGTATAACTTATCAAAGTAAATCTAGGTGTCCGGACATGTATTGAGTCCAGTAGATGTGGCTACAGTTCATTTTACTTGAAATTTCAGTGTCTACTTTAAATGTAGCTAGCGTAGATATGGTTGTTACACATTTGAATTAAAATCCTTGGAGAATTAGGGATGCATCAGGAAACCTTGTGACACAACAGCAAGTTTGCAACAATATTTGTGGGGGGGGAAAAAAAAAAAGGAAAAAAGCCTAAAATATTTCATGGTTTAAAATGTTATGTGGATATAGCATTTGATAGACCCTGATCCTGTATTATAGCAGATGTACTTGACACTTACTGTTGTTACATCACTTTTAACAGTTTCAGCAGCCTTTGTGTAATACACTTGTAGTATACTACCTATCTACACTTCAGGAGAGTAGGAAAAGCCATGTAAAGTATGGAAGAGGCCATATTATCAGCTCCTGTTTCGTTGTGGAAAACGTTTTTAAGATTCCTGTTCAATTACTAAAATCTCATTTGGTAGGAAACCCAAGAGATGAGATGGACAGAGCTGCAAAAATTGTGATTCAGGTCACTGTAACTTTTTGGACTTCTCTGTTGATTTTTAAAAAGATAAAATGCATCTGAGGTGTAGCAGAGATCACATGTGATGCAAAGTTTATGCATCAGTGTAAACAGTTGCACTTGATATTCAGAAACCACAAAATCTTTTGGAGGAGAGAGATGGGGGGGGGGTTATATGTTTAGCATGTGACCCCTAATTAAGTGCTGTCCAGTCCACATGATTCTATGAATATATCGTATACTGCATCCAGTATGCCAATACATTTCTTTGTGTTTAACTAACATCTGTATTGATTATTTATTTGACAGTTTTTATTTTTTGTACATTTTCACTCTTGCAGATGTCGTTTTATCTAAAGAAAAGCAATTGGCGTGTAACTCGGGCGTTGGCCGGGGCGTGTTCTTGTGCATCCATTTCTCTCTGTACAGTTCCCACAGTAAGAGGCGCTTTCCCTGTTTTGGTTTCTGAGCACAGTTTTTGCTGCGGCGCTCCCCGGAGCGTAGCGGTGCGGGAGGGCCCCGGGAAGGTTCCCTGCTCCGTGGGCCGCGTTGCCAGCGCCGAGCCGAGATCCGGGCACGGCAAACGTCGTGCTGCAACGACCAGCAAAATGTGAGCTGAGATGTGTACACTGCAGTCTCTGATCACTGTAAATGTATCCAGTTATTTTATCAATTTTGATTTGTGGAACAAAGCTTTATAGTAGAAACACCAGTAAACAACTTTTTATACTATTAAAATCTTCGGGTTTTTTTTTTTTTTTTTTTTAACAAAAAGGGTTTCTTGAACTCTGTGGTACTGTTTCACATCTTAAATGTCTTACTTTAAGCAATGGAATTTGCAGCTTTGCTGTTCGGAATAAGAGATTGACTGTGTCGTGTTATTCCCACTTTCCTGTTGTGTGGGCTAGTAATCTGGGTAAGATGTTCCTTCAGTTTGTACCTGAGGAGCTTTCATGGGACACGTATGGAACCTGTTAAAGGACAGATCAAGGGTTGAGCTGTACACCCTGAGTTCCAGAGCGTGTCAGTCGAAGATGTTAACGGTGCAGGAAAATGCACCAGGAAATGTTCTTTTATTTACAACCTCTGACGTGATCACAAGGTGTGCGTGGACCACAGAGGCAGCTTTCAAGCTTCCTGGTTTTCTCCGTTGTAGTGAGAGGAGAGAAGAACTTCCTAAGCAGCACGGCTGTTTCAGTTGAGTCCAGAAGTTATTTTGTAAACACTAATGTATTAAATTTGATATGAATTAAAGTATATAACAGCTATATTTTTCAGTTGTAAATACAGTACTTTGTGTCACAACCCGCTGGTTATCTACAATGATAATATTTTAGTTTGTAGTCCAGCGGGCCATTTCAGTGTCAATAAGCCAAAAGCACTTTTTTTTTTGTTTGTTTGTTTGTTTGCAGCTATATGATATATGATACTTCTAACCCCCGGAGAGGAGGGGGGCTGAGCTCATTCCAAGCGGGCACATACGGTCGGTAACGGCAAACATTTCAGCGCTTGGCCTTTCCGAGAGGGTGGCTCGCGGGCTGACTGCAGTCCCGGCTGCAGATTCGCCCCCTTCTCTTTGCTGAAGGGCTGCAAGATCCAGCACGGCCCGATCCCAGGCCAGCCCTGCAGACGATGCCTGTTCTCATTCCAGTGTTTATGTTGTTGCTTACAAAATAAAACCCACCGTGAGAACTCTTTAGTTTTCCCAGAGTTATTTATTATTCATTTTTTTAAAAAAAACACCTTTATTTTTTAAAGGAACACGTTAATTTCCTTGAAGCAGAGGAGGAGGCAGCAGAAGCCTTTTCCTGGTCTTGTGGTTGGCTGCTCCCATAGGGGTGGCCGGGCTGCGTGCGGAGCCTCGGGCGCTGGGCAGGCCGAGGCAAACAGAGGGGCTGCGCCTTGGGCGCCGCTGTCTCCCGGCCCTGCGCTCTGCGTGGGCTCCGGGTGGTCACGGGGACGGCAGGGATCCCTGGTGGCCACCATGGATGGCAGGGATCTCTGGTGGCCGCCATGGGCGCCTCCCTGCGCCAGCTCCTTGTGTTTTGCCACAGCTCCTACAAGGCCGCCCCTTCCTGAACCCGATGGAGCGGCAAAGCGCGGGCACAGGATCTGAAGGGAACGCGATGTGTGAAATGGGAAGGCGAACGGCAGAGAGGCTGAAAACTTGCAGGCAAGAGGCCTGCGAGCTGCTGGGTATCAAAGTCAGGCGTGATCCCACAGTGGAGGTGGAAAACACCTCGGCCTGGTGGCATCCTGGGATGCCCTGGTCTGCTCTCAGGCCAACACGGAGATGAAGGTAGGAGACCTGAACAAATGACTTAATGCTGCTCTTCCTTTCCCTGTGCTCTTCCAGCATTGCTCTTGGCCTCATCGGGGAGGGCATATCGCAACAGGATGGAGCTAAACGCTCTTGCCTTGGCATGGAAAGATGAGGGAGCTTTTGGTGTGCGGTGTTGCAGGCTCTGCCCACGTGCCATGGGAAAACGTCCCGATTCGTTGCTGCTCCGGCCAGAGAAGTGACAGACGTCGCCAAAGAAACGTGCCTGGATGCGAGGTGCAGTGTCTGCCGCCTGGGTGAAGAGGTAACTGCTTCCAGGTGACCCGACAGGGTGCTTCAAAGCTTAAAACTGCACGGCCCTTGGTTGGGAGGCATTGGCAGATCACACACCTTGGCCCTTGGTTGGGAGACGTTGTTAGATCATGCGCCTGTTGCAGGATGACTGTTAATGCTAGATTTGGGGATGTTACTTCTGCAGCTACCAGGCTCACTGGTGTATCAGCTTGGTTTGCTGGACACACGCCTAAAGCTCTCATATTTTTCCTCTAAATAAGCCATTTAGTTGGCTTGAGGGAAAAGCATCAGGCCGTGGCGATGGCCTTGCTCCTGACAAGGCTGCAAAATTCACTTCATTTTCTTGTTTTGAAGCAATGAAAGCTTGTCCCCAGCACCTTAGTTCAGGCGTGGTGAGGAGAAGCCTTGCAGCAGCTGGAGCACGGGCGTGGGGTGGCGTGAGGACTCGGGCTCAGCGAACGCGTTGGCTTCGGCCCCATTCCTTCAGCTCGCTGCCTGCAACGCTGCGTCGCAGCCCCGAGCTCTGCGCTACGGAGGGACCATGTGGACGCGGCAGGCTCTGCTCCTGTCTGCGGTGTGCAGACACAGCGCGGTGACGCACGCGCGGCGGGGAGGGCCCGGGGCGATGCGTGCGCGGAGGCGGCCCAAGCTGTGCGGGTGCGAGGGGAGGAGGAAGGAGGGCGCGAAGGCCGCGCCGCCTCCCCCGGCGGCTCCAGCGGCCCTGAGGGAGCACCAGGAGCGGCGGGGAAGAGCGTTGTGTTTCTCCTCAGTTGTGCAGGAGGGTGGAGGAGACGCTGTGCTGCAGTGATTCAGTGGGGAAAGGATAAATCCTGCTTGCCCGCCCACGCGCCCCCAGGAGGGAGAAACCCGTGGGCAGAGCCGGAGCAGAACGGAGCGGTGACTCTCCTTGAGCTGCTCCGGAGGGCGGCAGCGGAAGGGCCGCCTCTCCACGCGCTTCCTCCGCAGCCCTGCCTGGCCACGCGGCCCCGGGGTCAGGCATTAGGTGCACATTAGGGGACTCCAGGGAGCCTCCTTCCTGCACCGACTACCACGTTACTTTAGTTAGCTACCCTGGAATCTCTGAGGTAGCCAAAAGCCTTTTGTTTCCTTACCATTCGCCTGCAAATGAATGGTGCAAAATGTAGCCCTGACAAGTTGTCAAACTGCACGCACGTCTCGTTTGAAAGCAGGTGCCAAAATAAGAAACCCAGTTAACTCTTTGCACCGAAGCATGAGTGCAGACGAGTATTTCCATCACAAGGTTGGGCAGGAATTTCCGAGCTGTGCACGGAGTGCTGTAACCCAGCCGATTTGCTGCGAAGCGCCGGCGACGGAGACGCCCCCGCGGAGGACGTGCTGGTGTTTGCGCCGCTCGGAGCCCTGCGGTGACTCATCTCCGCGACCTCAAGCGTTTGCTCCCCGCGCCCAGCTCGCCCTTCGCCGTGAGCCTTCCCGCGCGTGGGCGTTTGGCCGGAGCCTTAAGGAGCTGCCGCGTCTGCGGCAGCCCCCGGCTTCCCAGCGAGGGCTGTGCCGGGGGGATCAGCATCCTCCTCCCACAGCATCCCTGCTGTCCCGCGGGATTTGAGGCCAGGCTCTGTGTTTTGCATCCTCAGGGGAGCAGCAGGGGAAGAGCAAATCAGCCCAGCTGGGTGGCCCTCTGGGATTCAGCCCTGGGATTCAGCCCACGCTCTGGGATTCAGCCCTGGCTGCTGTCGCTGCTTCCCCTCTCCAAGTGGCCAAGGGATGAAGGGAAATTGGGCAGTTTTGAGGTTCTCCTACCACCTCTTGCAGCCCTCCAGATATGGCGAACATGCTCAAAATCCAGAAGGGAAGCCCTCCTGGCATGCCATAATTCTATTTTTATTTTACATATTTGGTTTTAGCCCCACTTAGAAAGCACGGACCAAAGTGGCCCCAAGTTTTGCCTTGCTTGGCTGTTGCATAAGAAGCACGAGAGGGGAATGTGTCCCCACGGGCCAGGGTCCAGCAGGAGGACATGGGTCAGTTTTGATGTGGGGCTCCTCTGTTGCAACATGCTGCCACGGCAAAAAAATGGGTTAAAAAAAGAGACAGATTGGGTGCAAAACCCAGCTTGCTCTTTGAATTACTTTCCCTAGTGCCCACCACCAAGTGGATGGAAAAGATGCCCTTGTCTACCTTTCTCCTGATTTCCCCCTCTGCCTTTTCCTTCCTTCTTTCCTCAGTTCCAGTCCCTCTTAACTCTGCACTAAGGGAAGTGCCCCAGCAAGCCTGCACCGGGGAGCAAACAAGTCCAAGGCTTCACGAGGGAGCAAACTGCCCGTGGAGCCGGGAGGGAAGAGGCGCTGGCCTTGCGGTTGTTCCCACTCCCCGAGGGAGGAACCCGCCGCAGATCCCGTCCCCGTAGGACACCTGCTGGTAAGAGGGTGCCATACCCGCTCTGCTTCCAGTTTGTCACATAACCAGCCTGGCTTTTTCCATTTATTAGTGTGGTTTGGAGGCACCGTGAGCCGTCCAAGGACAAGCTGCAAATGTGACACAGAGTCACAGAATGGTTGAGGTTGGAAGGGACCCCTAGGGATCCCCCAGTGCAGCCCCTGCTCCAGCAGGGACACCCAGAGCACGGGGCACCCGGTCACATCCATGCGGGTTGGGAGATCTCCAGAGCAGGAGCCTCCCCGGGCAGCCTGGGCCAGGGCTCGGGCACCCTCACACCAAACAAGTTCTGTGACCAAGTGACCCTTGGTGCTGCATTGCGGCTCCTTGCCGGCTGCTTACGAGGAAGCCAACAGGAGCCGAACGCAGGCTCCTTGTAAGAGGTTCGCTTGCCAGGTATTCGTTAGACTGTGTTTCAAACCAAAACGATAGTCACTAACACAATGAGAACACCTTTTCCGGTAGCTCTGGGGATTTTGTGTTGCCCTTTACAAGTGCTACATCTCCGTGGGGCAGAAAGGTCTTCCTGGAGCTACGCGGTCAACACGAGAGCGTGTTTTTCCCCTCTGCTCCGCGATGAGAGGTGTACACCGGTGCCATAGGAGCGAGGCTGCTGCTGGAAGTCTTTCACATAGACAGGACGTGACGGGCCGATCTGCAAACCTAGCGCACCGGGTCGGTACGGTGGCTGTCCCCTACAAGCACAGCGAGGAGCAGAGTTTCCTTCACTCTGCCTCCATAACGGGAGAACAAATGTTCTGACTAATTTATTTTCCAAAGAGCAGAGCTGGGCAGCTGTTCTGGCCAAAGGAGACAGCAGCAGACCCCTCTGGATACACCTAGCGTGGAGGGCTCTGGCTGATGGAGCAGACCTCCATCAGGAGGAGTAGGTAGGAGTAGGTAGGAGTAGCTCCCACCCGGCCCCGACTCGCAAAGCAACGGCGTTTCCCCCTCCTAGAGCAGAAGACTGGAGCTGGCGAACCAGGACAGCTCCTTCCCGCTCTGCGCTAGCGTCCGCAGCAGCCCTGGTGCTGCCGACACAGCAGAAGGTG